TGGTTAGTTGAGGGGTTCTTGGAGGAGCCTTAAGTGTTTCAATATATCAAAGGGTTCGTGGAGCAACCGTGGACTGGAGGCATGGTTTAGTAGGGGCGTGGCTTTCAGATAGATCTTTTTAGGCCACCCGTAGGAGTAAATGTCATTCCTGTTAATCTGTTCAGTTGTATTGTCATCACATGTTAAGGTTGAACATGATCGTTTTGTAACTTCAATGAGGCTTACGGAGGTGTAAGAGTTTCCCAAAGTTGGAGTAGTTACCGCTTTATTACTATATATAATTAGCTATATTATTATGACTGTTATATTAGAATATGTAATGAATGTAATGACATTTTTAAAACCCCAAAAGGTTCTTCCAGGCTCCTTTATTCCTTTACTTCTAACACTTCAGCTACACTACTCGCGTCACCATTAATGTGCCGTCACTGTGACGTTCTACCTGCTACAAACCAACAGAGAAACTCATTATTTCCATTCAAAAGATAGAATGAATGCGCGCGTCAGTCATCGAGAATTTAATTTGAGCTTCGATGCTGCCATTGGACGCAATGCAAGCAGTATAGCAGCTTTCATTGATTTCAAAGGAAGCATTCCCTCAATGGCCGATGGCTGATGGCAATGCCGGATGACCGATGTCTGTAGTGTAGCAGGGCCGTAACAGTGTACAGTAGTAGGGAAGTGTTGTCTACAACCCATCCTCTCTCTACTCCATCCCTCTCTTTCTTTCTTTCTCTCTGTCTTTCTATGTCTCTCTCTTTCTCGCTCGCTCACTCGCTCTCTCGCTCGCTCCACTGAACAAAGTGACATTATCTCTCCAAATGGAAGAATTGTGTTCTGTGGATGGACATAGGCTGGTCTGGGGGTTGGTTGCGTGTAAAGGCCCATGGAGAAGTCCACTTCCCTGCGTGGACATGTGTGGCTTTGCTTCCTGGACATAAGGCTCACAGAGGTGTGATGGAAGGAAGGATTTATATGAGTGATCAGGGATTTACGGAGACATTGTGCTGGGTATCTACTGTAGCTGACATTGGCTCAGGTTAGAGACATGCTCTAAAACAGACACAGTCACTAGACACTGTAGAATGTCAATGGCAACACTGGCATAGCAATAATGCACTGCAGCATAACAGCATGGATTATGAACAATACAGACAAACAGGCCTACACACACACACACACACACACACACACACACACACACACACACACACACACACACACACACACACACACACATGCAAACACGCACACATATGGACACAAACACACACACATATGGACACAAACACACACAAACACGCACACACACACAGACACATACACATAAACACACACAAACACATGTGATACACCCAGGTAGCAGGGGTGTAGTGGTAGCTCTTTATTGTGAAAGTGTGTCTGAGAGGCAGGCCTGGCCCTATGGGAAGGCCTTAGCGTTTAACGCAGTAAGCTGTGAAACAAATGGAGCAGGAGCCAAATTACACCAGCTTGTTTGGCTCCTGCTCCATTTGATTCACAGCTTACTGTGGGGCTGCAGGGCTCTGGCATGTGAACTTTATAACAGAATAGAAAGCAGAGAGACGCATCTCTCAGCTGGGAGAATGTAATTTGATGCTGTGTTGTTGTTTTGTCTTGGATCTGTTTGGGTGTGTTTTATGGGATGGGGGACAAATGAATGTGGTGGCATCTAAACAGTGGTACATATATAGGATCTTAATTTGATCATCCTGTTGTTGCAGGAAATGCAAACTTGTAGTGTATTCAAGGTTTAAAAAGGCTTCTAAAGTTTGTAATTTCCACTTTATAATTTCAGATTTGATTTGCCCTAATTAGAAATGAATCAACTTCAACAAAAATGTCCATTAATTATACACTGAGTGTACAAAATATTAAGATCACCTTCCTAATATTGAGTTGCACCCCCTTTTGCCCTCAGAACAGCCTCAATTCGTCGGGGCATGGATTCTACAAGGTGTCGAAAGCGTTCCACAGGGATGCTGCCCCATGTTGACTCCATTGCTGCCCACAGTTGTGTCAAGTTGGCTGGATGTCCTTTAGGTGGTGGACCATTCTTGATACACATGGGAAAGTGTTGAGCGTGAATAACCCAGCAGCGTTTCAGTTCTTGACACAAACCGGTGCGCCTGGCACCTACTACCATACCCCGTTCAAAGTCACTTAAATATTTTGTCTTGCCCGTTCACCCTCTGAATGGCACATACACAGAATCCTTGTCTCAATTGTCTCAAGGCTTAAAAATCATTATTTAACTTGTCTCCTCCCCTTCATCTACACTGATTTAAGTGGATTTAAGTGACATCAATATTCCTAATGTTTTGTACACTCAGTGTAATCCACACAATAATTCACATTTCCTGTTGCTGCAGGATTCATTTCCTGCTCTGAGAAACTGGTCAAATTAAGATCCGGCATCTGTATTATTCTGTCTTCTCATGGGGATGAAAGAGAGTAGTTAGTAGTCCAATGGACATTTATTTATTGATCACTGCCACAGTTGTTATAATAATAATATGCCATTTAGCAGACGCTTTTATCCAAAGCGACTTACAGTCATGCTTGCATACATTTTTCTTTTGGTGTGTATGGGTGGTCCCGGGGATCGAACCCACTACCTTGGCATTACAAGCGCCGTGCTCTACCAGCTGAGCTACAGAGGACCACATTATGTATATAGTGCTATTTCTATTTGTATTGTTTTTATGACCATTGTCATTATTTTATTTCACTAGTCCTGCATGTTTGAGCTTGAAGCCTAAGATTTTCACTGTACCCTGCAATCACAGCTGCAACCCTGTACATGTGGCTATTAAACACTCTTGAATCTGAATCTTTTAAGAACACATAGAGAGTCCCAAGGGGTTCAATAGTCAGACCCTCTCTCAGTGAACTCCTACCTGCTGGAGCCCCTCTACTGTATGTTACCATGATACATAATATAAGCATGATGAAGAATTTCATAGTTGAGAGGATATAACGTAAGATGTGTTATGCAAGCTATATTATACGTAGCTATGCTTCATCATCTTATTAAACTACTGTGAATAGTTTAATATTTAATGAAAATGTTTGATCTTTGTTGTAAACTCAATCTCAACTATTCAACTGTTTATGACAGTTAAACAACTGTTACTTAAATGTTTTAAGTTTTACATTTTAGTCATTTAGTAGACACTTATCCAGAGCGACTTACAATTAGTACATTCATCTTAAGATAGCTAGGTGAGACAACAACATATCACAATCGTAGCAAGTACATTTTCCCTCAATAAAGTACTTTGTAAATGGTGTGCTCATAGACTCATAAGCTTAGTGCAAGTTTCAAACTAAACAAAATATATGAATATTCAATAAAGGTAAGTGCGGTGAGAGTTCATTCCCAACAGATCGTATCACTGAAGTGTGTGCGTGTACATGTGTGTGTGTGCACGTACCTGATTGTGTGTGTGTGTGTGCGTTTGCACGTGTGTGTGTGTATGTGAGTCTATGCATGGTTATGTGTGTAATAGCATCTACAGGGGCAAAAAAGTATGTCGCCACAATGTTTCCACTTAAAAGAGAAGAGCTGTATATGTACACATCAACTTGAAGGAGAAAAAAAATCAAAAAATCCCATTGTAGGATTTTAAGAATTTATTTGCAATGGTTAATATTTGGTCCACAAACAAGCAGATTATGGCTCTCACGACTGTATTTCTTTAGAGGCTCCTCTGTCCTCCACTCGTTACCTGATATGGCACCTGTTGACTTGGTATATATAAAGACCCTGTCCACACTCAACATCCACTCCAAACTTCACAATGCCAACCAAAGAGCTGTCAAGGCACCAAAAACAATTGTAGACCTGACGCTGGGAAGACTGAATCTGCAATAGGTAAGCAGCTTGGTTTGAAGAAATCAACTGTGAAAGCAATTATTAGGAAATGGAAGACATACAAGACCACTGATAATCTCCCTCGATCTGGGGCTCCACGCAAGATCTCACCCCGTGGGGTCAAAATGATCACAAGAACGGTGAGCAAAAATCCCAGAACCACACGGGGGGACCTAGTGAATGACCTGCTGAGAGCTGGGACCAAAGTAACAAAGCCAACCATCAGTAACACACTACGCCGCCAGGGACTCAAATCCTGCAGTGCGAGACGTGTCCCCCTGCTTAAGCCAGTACATGTCCAGGCCCGTCTGAAGTGCATTTGGATGATCCAGAAGAGGATTGGGAGAATGTCATATGGTCAGATGAAACCAAAATATAACTTTTTGGTAAAAACTCAACTCGTCATGTTTGGAGGACAAAGAATGCTGAGTTGCATCCAAAGAACACCATACCTACTGTGAAGCATGGGGTTGGAAACATCATGCTTTGGGGCTGTTTTTCTGCAAAGGGACCAGGACGACTGATCCGTGTAAAGGAAAGAATGAATGGGGCCATGTATCGTGAGATTTTGAGTGAAACCCTCCTTCCATCAGCAAGGGCATTGAAGATGAAACGTGGCTGGGTCTTTCAGCATGACAATGATCCCAAACACACCGCCCGGGCAACGAAGGAGTGGCTTCGTAAGAAGCATTTCAAGGTCCTGGAGTGGCCTAGCCAGTCTCCATATCTCAACCCCATAGAAAATCTTTGGAGGGAGTTGAAAGTCTGTGTTGCCCAGCGACAGCCCCAAAACATCACTGCTCTAGAGGAGATCTGCATGGAGGAATGGGCCAAAATACCAGCAACAGTGTGTGAAAACCTTGTGAAGACTTACAGAAAACGTTTGACCTGTGTCATTGCCAACAAAGGGTATATAACAAAGTATTGAGAAACTTTTGTTATTGACCAAATACTTATTTTCCACCATCATATGCCAATAAATTCGGTGGCATCTTATTTCCACTGTGCATTAATGTTTTAACCTCCCCCTGCAAATCCTGTGATGTTGTGGTGTCGCTAACTAAAACACAGTGCCTAGCGTGATTAGCATCAAGGCTTGGCCCTGATGCTGCGTGCGGTTCTACCTTATAGGTAAGCAGGCCACAGGAAACATGAAGTGTGAGTCTGATGGAGGTTGACAGTCGTGCTGCAACACTTCCACTAAAAGCAAAGTGAAAGGGGGGGGGGGGGTAGTGAGTGTGTGAGCGTGCACGCCCGCCTGTGTACACCACACGTGTGATTGCCTGAGCAAATATCTAGGGACACACACAGGGAGATAAGAGCGGTCCACTGATTGAAGGATTATGGAACATCGCCAAGATGAACATTCCCCTTCCGTGTTCCAATCTCTCCTCTGCTGTACCTTCCATGTTCAATCTCCACTTCCGTATTCGAAAATCTTTGTTTCTATGTTTCTCCAATAATCCCATGTTTCTCTATATTCCCTAAGCTTTTATGTACTGAGAGCACAACATACTTCAAGCTCAGTTTACAGGCGATTGAAAGAACAAGGTGCAAAGAGTAAGATGCCGCAGCAACAACATGAAAGTTACAGTTCTGAGGATGTTCAAATGGCAACACATTTCTCCTTCTCTCATTCTCTTATCCCTCTGCAAGTTTCCCCCAGTCTTTTGATATTGCAGATCAGAACAGACTTAGACGCAAACTTGGTAGGATTGCTTGGGTAATCGTCACTTACCAGATTGAGTTTCCCATAGCAGAATGCTGTGACGCTGATAAACTAAACCCAGGAGGTTTTAGGAATGGTATCAGGCCTGCTCAGGTACAGCATTATAGAGGATCACTCTTACTGGATTTGGAGCGGGAGTAACTATGCTGGAAATATTATAAGGTACTCAGATTGGGTCCATAAAGCATTAGGAATAAACCCAAAAGTGCAGCTCTTAGGCCTGATTACAAACCCATGTCTGGATAAGGAGGGAAAGAATGGCTGACATGTTGCTGATATCTACCTTATCTATCTATCTGCAAGGAAAGGGGTAAAGGGCCTATGGAGAGGCATTGGTTTGGAATTGGGTCTTTGTATGTGGGAATGGAGACAAGTGTATTGCAGGCCTCGGTCCCAGATAGACAGTGGGATTGGAGTGGAGAAATGGTTGAGGAGGTTGAGAGACATGGAGAAAAAGAATGAAAGGAGAGGAAGGAGAGGAGAAGGGCGGGTATTTGTCCTGACGGTATCTTTGACTGGGAGACAGTTGATACCCAGATGAAGATGGAGAGATAAAGAGAGATGGAAAATTGAGAGAGGGGGGAAGGAGAGAATATCCGTTCCTGTGCTCACTTTGATGGAAAGATGGCAGCGATAGTCGAAGAGGGAGAGGAGGGAAGAAAATAAGGAAGGAGGGGAAGCAGAGGACAAGAGGAGGGGCTATCAGTTCCTGCAAAGTCTTTGTTGAAGAGATATCTGAGGAGGAGAGGGGGAGAGAGGCAGGAGGTCCAGAAGGGCTCTCTGTTTCTGTGGAGGTCCAGCATTTTGTATGAGGATCACAGTCGACCTGCAGAGACATCATCTACTGTACCTCCCATCAGGCAGGGGCTCAGAGAGAGAGAGAGAGAGGAGAGAGAAGAGAGAGAGAGATATGGATACAGAAATACAGACACAGTCGCAGAAGTAATACTCCACTACGGAGACAGAGAGACAGTAAATTAGAATTGAGAAGTAAATGAGAAAGGAGAAAGAGAGACGTTAAACATACAGGGTTATAATAACCCCCTACAGTTTAAGTCCATTTCTGCGCCAGCACGCTTTCATCATTGGGTGCATCTCAATTGGGTGTGTCCATTGGCCTGTGCGATGACTGGGAGCTGCAGTAGAGCGGTTTTTATGAGACGAGTGGTTTCTGTTACAAAAAACGCCTGTCAAGTTGGAATGGTTTGAGCTACAAAACTACTATGTCCCCATTCTGAAAAACGTAGACTCTCACAAACACGCACTGTTGTCGGTTTGCTCTATGACGACCCAAGGACGCCCATGTCCCAACTCCATACAAAATGAAAATGCAGTAAAATTAACTGGAGATGAATAGGGGTTATTCCACATAACATAATAAGGGTTATTCCACATAAAATATTGTCCCTCTTTTTTGTATCTGGCCAATTATGGCCTCTGTTAGGGCACAGGAAGCGCCATTGGGGCCTGCTCCATTATGAAGTAGTCAATTTTATTTTTCTACTACTTCTATGAGTTGGTATGCAAACTAAAAGGGTGCATACTGCCACCTGGAGTTTGTAGTTTGAACAGGTATAAAGCCAAGGTTGGCGATTTACTTTCACCTGCAGTTATGTAATGTTTGCTCACAAGCATAATTCATTGGATGATCCCTCCTGATGACCCGGATGAAATTAGGTGATCCTAATTTCACCAAGTTGAAAATGGTGAAAGTCTTCAATGGTGCTGCCCATGCTAAAATGGGCTTTTGGGCGCTAGAGTCCTCTATCTATCTCTATGGCTTTCCTATATCTCTCAGATGCATTTGTAGACCCTTCAAAACATACTTCCTTGTTTATTTTATTTTTTTATTTTATTTTCCATGTATTTGTGTGTTCTTCAATGCGTTTCTATGTACTAATAGCAGTAAGGCCAAATTCAGTGTTTATTCAAATAATTGTTACGTTTTTTTTATACCTATAGATGCCGTATCTTAATTTGAGTGAGGAAAGCAGGAAAATATCCTGCAGCAACAGGAAATGTGAATTGTTATGTGGATTATAATGAATGGACATTTTTGTAGGTTAATAAATTTTTTCGTTAGGACAAATCAAGTCTGAAATGTTAAAGTGGAAATTACAAACTTTAGAAGCCTTTTAAAACCTAAAATACACAAGTTTGCATGTTCTGCTGTGCAGAACAATTCCTGCAACAACAGGATGATCAAATTAAGATATGGCATCTGTACATGGGTCCTAAAATATAAAATCAAATAGCTAGATGGTCCATTTTATTAATATCCTAACAATTCCAAATGTTAAGTTAGTAGATTTCTTAGAAAAAGGTATTTGACCTACAGGGGCATAACTACTACTCACAAGCTTATTTACATGTAGGTTAACAAGACAATGTGGAGACGCCACGAACACGTGTGACTCACAGCGTTTTTAATGGCTGAATTATCATGCCTTAATGTGTGCGTTAATGTGTCCCTTTGGTTCTGGGATGAAGTGTGGCACACAGCTGGGATCAGACTGAAGATGTTGCTGGGAGCATGTTCCAACGTTCCGCTTGTCTGCTAGGGTTTGTCTCGCGTCTGGCCCTCAGCCAGCCAACCACCATCCCCCAATGTCACATCGCACAAATGTTTCCCTGAAGCGGCGTTCAGAAACAGCAAATTAGTAATACGCTCCCCCTGAAGCTACCCGCCTGCTGCCGCGACCCCTAACCCACTCCACGTTGACAACAAGCCTTACCTGTGTGTACGTACATGTGCATGTCTGCCTCGTGAGCATCTCTAGTGTCTACGAAGAAATAGCATTTGGATAACCCCGTTGCCTGGTCATGACGCTAAGTATGACAGAGACATCCAGAGCCGAGCAGAGCACTCACACACACAAACACAAAACCTCACATACACACACACACACACAAACATACTCATACACACACATACTCACACACACACACATTCTTACACACACACAAAACACACACTATGCTCTGCCAAGCTGTGCTGGGTGGATCAGAAGGCACTTGTAGCTGGCGCAGGGCTACTCCATGCGGGGCCTCTCCATAGACCCAGCCAGAAACCAGACAATGGCACAGAGAACCAGAGAGAGATCACAGCACCAGATCACTGCTGGGGAGAGGGATGGAGGGAAGAGAGGAGGGGGGTGGCGGGAATGGGGAGTGGTAGAGTGAGGGGAGCGGGAGAGTGTGGGGAGTGGGAGGCGGGAGAGCGATGGAGAGTGGGGGAGAAGGGAAAGAGAGAGAAGGGGAGGAGAGAGGGAGGAAAAATAGCAGCATTATCCATGCCACCTGTAGAAGGAGAGGGTAAAGGAAAAAGAAAAGACAGGGAGAGAGAACAAGGGTGGAGGAGAGAGAACGAGGGATGCTCTACTCCTCCTCAGGGTCTGTTGTCAAGGCTTCATGGCACTCTGTCAAGAGCCATTGGCAAGACCTGAGCCACAAGGAAAGACCTGAGCCACAAGGAAAGACCTGAGCCACAGTGAAAGACCTGAGCCACAGGGAAAGACCTGAGCCACAGGGAAAGACCTGAGCCACAGAGAAAGACCTGAGCCACAAGGAAAAGCAGAGATGGAGAGAGGGAGAGACATGGGCAGAGAGGTACAGAAAGAGAGGAAGGATAGAAAAGAGGGGAGAGAGGGATGGAGATGTACAGAAAGAGGGGAGGTAAGAGAGGGATAGAGATGTACTGGGATTTACACACACACACACACACACACACACACACACACACACTAAATCCATTTAGAAGCACACAAAGAAAACATATGAGGGAAAACGGTTAAATAGTGGAATACCAGGTCACTGATACTGTGGCTAAGCTTTTTGATCTGCACACAGTGTGGAGGATTCTTGGAGAGAGTGTGGCTTCCTGATTTTCTCTTCCTCCATCTCCCCCTTCAGCAACCTCACACTGGCACCCACTCAATAAGATATTACTCGCACATTAGTTTGGGAGGATTATTTGATACCATTAGTCATGGCTTTCTTTGTTTTCTGCCACAAATGCATTCTTGGATGCACACACACACACACGCTCACATAGACCGACAGACAGACAGACAGACAGACACAAACACACACACATTGCTCCTTTATGCCCCTTTGCAGAAATGATGATCTATGTTGCTGTTTGAAATCTACCCAAACCTCTTTGACTCCTCTACTAGTCTTGATCTTGTCTCAGTAAACCATAACTGTAATAGAAGCTGAAAAAAGAAAACCGCATTTTCCTTGTATTTGGCTCTATTGAGAGAGAATCCATTTTCTCAGAGAAATATATAGAGTTGTGCCACATACAGAAGTTAAATATGAGTCTTTCTTCTGTCGATACTTTTTGAAAGAAAAACTACTGGGCACAGTTGACTTCTGAATGTTCTGACACTATTATTCTGTGGAATAAACCAGAACATAAACAGCATATTAAAGATGATAACAGTGTTGTGTTGATTACTTCTGCATCCCAAATGGCACCCTATTCCCTTTATAGCGCAATGGGCCCTGGTCAAAAATAATGCAATATTGGGAATGAGGGTGCCATTTGGGACGCAGGATAAAACTTGAGTAGAGTAAATTGACTAAAACAGAGTGGCTAACCAAACAGTTTTCTGGCCTAGTCAGCATTCACTTGCAGTTCTACAATATCTTACATTGCAGTCTTCATAGTGAATAAAGATGAAGCACTTCTCCCAATGGACAAGGAGTCATTGTGATTTAAAAGTTTGCTGAACCCCCTTTTGGTCGTCCTATTGTATTAAAGCTGTCATAAAAATCCATAAACTAAGTCACTTGTCAGCGAGCACTTAAACTAGAGATTACATGATCACTGGCATCAATATGAAGCTTTTAAACAGACAGACAGACAGACAGACAGACAGACAGACAGACAGACAGACAGTCAGACAGAGACAGGACTTGTTATGGACCCAAGAGGGGGCTCAAACTGAAATCTCAAGACTAACTGATGTGAAGTGCACTTGAAAAGGATCTACCGTTTTAATGTTTTACTTTAAAACAGTAATATTTCTGGTGATGGTGCTCCCCTAGGCTAAACAGCTTATCTTATGACAGGTGTGCACAACTCAGGCCCTTAAATTCCACAGTCGTGTTGGTTTTCGTCTCTCCTTGGTACTTGATGCTTCTGAACGGCTGCAGTGTAGACACACCTGGTTTAACAGGTAGAAATCAGTGTCAATTATGAAAATCAGCAGGATTTTTATTTTTGTATTTTACCTTTATTTAACTAGGCAAGTCAGTTAAGAACAAATTCTTATTTACAATGACGGCCTACACCAGCCAAACCCGGACGACGCTGGGCCAATTGTGTGCCGCCCTATGGGACTCCCAATCACGGCCGGTTGTGATACAGCCTGGAATCAAACCAGGGGGTCTGTAGTGATGCCTCAAGCACTGAGATGCAGTGCCTTAGACCACTGCGCCACTCGGGAGCCCAGCGCTCAGGAATGCAGCACTCTGTGTACCCTTGTCTTATGACTTCCATATTTCTGTTTATCTGTCTCAGTAAATATCTCTCCAAACACATCTCTATCAAACAGGTATAACCTACAACTGACTGTGCAAGTTTCCATTTTGTCTCAACCCATTTGTGGTCCTTTCTGTATGGCTGCTGGTCCTGTCTGCTGTATATTGTGGATAAAGAGTTACCTGTCTAACAGAAAACAGAGGATGTTCTTTAATGGAAGCCTTTCCAACATAATCCAGGTAGAATCAGGAATTCCCCAGGGAAGCTGTCTAGGCCCCTTACTTTTTTCAATCTTTACTAACAACATGCCAGTGGCATGTCGTTAGTAAAGATTGAAGAAAATTGACAAAATTGCAATTGGCTCAGAACAGGGCAGCACGGCTGGCCCTTGGATGTACACAGAGAGCTAACATTAATAATATGCATGTCAATCTCTCCTGGCTCATAGTGGAGGAGAGATTGACTTCATCACTACTTGTATTTGTGAGAGGACACCCATGCATACCCCACAAAACATGCCACAGTCCTCAAGTCCAGAACAGACTATGGAAGGTGCACAGTACTACATAGAGCCATGACTACATGGAACTCTATTCCACATTAAGTAACTCATGCAAGCAGTAAATTTAGATGTAAAAAAAAAAGATGAAATACACCTAATGGAACAGCGGGGACTGTGAAGAGACACAGGCACAGACACATGCATACACACATTCAATAACATACGCACTGTACACACACGTACACATGGATTTTGTGTTGTAGATATGTGATAGTAGAGTAGTGGCCTGAGGGCACACACTTAATGTGTTGTGAAATGTGTTGTGAATGTATTGTAATGTTTTTAAAATTGTATAACTGCCTTCATTTTGCTGGACCCCAGGATCCATAATAATGGGGATCCATAATAAATACAAATACAAAATTAATGATGGGAGTGGTCTCACTAACCCCCAACTGCGATGGGCCGGTTTGGAACAGTCTGTGAAATTAGGTTTATATAGCAGGCAGGGAGAATAAAGATATCATAGACAGAGCTGCTTTCCCCTTTGGAGAGCTGCCCTGAAATAGCTTTGAAGACTGTTCTTTCTAAGATATCCAGCAGAGCTTCCCTATTACGCATTAATGGTCTAGTACGGTCTCATATAGTTTTGTGTAGGCATACAGTCTGTCGCTGTTGGAGAGTAAGACTTTTATGTTCCTATTAGTTGAATTCAATACAAAACAAAACAACCAATTCCATACCAACCATATCTCTGTTCATGATTATGGATTGAATCACAGCTTGAGATATGCATGAATAAATTGAGGTTTAGAGTGAATCGTACATACACGATGGTTTGTGTACATCAAGTTAATTAAAATAATAATCCACTCAAAAAATATATTTAGGAATGATTTTCATTAGTCCACTGTTGATACAGTCCCATAAAAATGCATGATTGCATGTCAGCAATCACGTTTTCAAGATATAGAACTTTCCAAAAGTAAATTGTAACTTGCCACATCACCATGATGATTCGTTTTGCATCATATGCTTGAGATTGAGTCTTTTCAATATCAGGGTGCTGACTAATCACAACGCACCTTTTTGTGGGAAAAGGAGGATAACATACTGTAGTTCTAAAAGAACAAGGGTTATGTTAGATTTGTGTGTGTGTTTAGGCCCCTCTCCAAATGCCATCTTTGTAAGGAGGGTCTCTATACACTCTTAGAAAAAAAGGTGCTACTTAGAACCTAAAATGGTTCTTCGGCTGTCCCCATAGGAGAACGCTTTGAAAAACCCTTTCTGGTTCCACAAAGGGTTCTACATCAAACCAATATAGTTCTACCCGGAACCAAAAAGGGTTCTACCTGGAAACAAAAAGGGTTCTCCTATGAGGACAGCTGAAGAACTGTTTTGGAAAAGTGTACCATATCCATAGAAATAATGCAATGATGCAATGCAGATAGCAGACCTCCAATATACCATATCCATTTGAAACCATTTACACCCATTTAGTGTCTTGATAATCTGTATATATGTATTAAGGCATTAGTAGAACTGAGTAATCATAAGAAGATCAATAACCATCCCTATCTCATTGGCATCATCCTGCATTATATGTCCTCCCGTTGCCACACTGAAGTAGATTATCTGACTGATAGTCAAAATGATGATAATAAGAAAATGTCTTTATATAGATTTGTCAGGCTTCAGAGTAATCTTCTGTGGATAATAATATGACAGACTCTTCTCTCTGCACACCTCTTCATCTGTTTGGGACTGATAATCTGTTATTGCCTGGATATTTAATCACCCGTCTTTTACATCTTGCCAAGTCTTCTGATTACGTTGTGTGATAATCTGTTGTGATCATATTAGCGATTCAAGTTTCTGATAATCTGGGATATATTTGTATTATGTAATCTGTGATGGTAAACTGTGTTGGTGATCTGGGATTATAATCTGTGTGTCCCTGCAGGGCTGAAGATCCGGGAGGTGATGATCAACGTGTCTCGTCAGCAGGTGGAGGACTTCCATGGCCCTGAGGACTACTGGTGTCTGTGTGTGGCCTGGAGCCACCTGGGCACCTCCAAGAGCCGCAAGGCCACCGTACGCATCGCCTGTGAGTAGCAGAACCATACCAACAGAGAGGGAGGGGGGATGGAAAGGGCAGGAGTGAGTGAGGGAAGATGAAAGAGAGAGAGAAAGTGAGTGGAGCGGGTGAGGGGGGTGTGAGTGAGAGAGAAAGTGAGTGGAGCGGGTGAGGGGGGTGTGAGTGAGGGAGAAAGTGAGTGGAGCGGGTGAGGGGGGTGTGAGTGAGGGAGAAAGAGAGAAAGAGTGGGGGTGGAACGAGAGAGGTATTTGGAGTCAAATAAACATAAAATGTTTATCCCTATGCCCAAAAGAGGGCTTTGTTTGATCTAATCCCAGAAATAGGGCTGTTGCGGTGACCGTACTACCACCATACCGGCAGTCATGAGTCATGACCGTTGAGTCATGGTAATCTCCTTTTATGCACTCTGGACATGCTTTGGTAGTACCCAACTTGCTAACTACCATCAGGTCCTAATGGCTCTATTGTCCCCCTAACCACTCTGACATCAATGAAAATGCAATTGAAAATCACATAAAAAACATATCATCGAAACAGTAGGCCTATTGTACTTTTAAATCTCTTTGGTACATAATTGATCTAGCCTATTCTCCAAAATTAAACACATTTGAGTAATTACCTTTGAGTGTGGACTGTATTATTGTGCATACTGTATGGACTGGTTACCTTATGCTAAGCTCCAAAATGTCTATCCATGAGTCTGGGAGAGAATGTATAGCCCTAGCCGATGCTGTTGGTTCATTGACTGTGCAGGGTAGCTATACAGAATATCTCACCACCATGCGTTTCCATCTCCTCTTCTCTCTCCTTTTATTCCTTTCTCGAGCGCACAGATGGGCTGTCAACAGTTTATTGAAATATGTAAGTCGCTCTGGATAAGAGCGTCTGCTAAATGACGAAAATGTAAATGTAAATGTTAGGAGGAGATTGTGGTGAGATATTCTGTATAGCTAAAGGTAATGTGTCACCCAATGAATTATGACAATTTAAAAAATGCACTATTCAAAATCAAATAGAAATTCACTAATTGCACGCTAACTGTAAGCCGCCCTGCACAATCAATTAACCAACAGCATTGCCTAGGGCTATAAGTTCTCTCCCAGACTCATGGAGATACATTTTGGAGTTTAGCATAAGGTAACCAGTCCATACAGTATGCACAATAATACAGTCCACACTCAAAGGCAACTACTCAAATTTGTTTGATTTTAGACCAATTATGTACCAAAGACATCTTAAATCAGTCTTGTTTTGTGTATTGTATAACGGCACAATCATAATTTTTATTCAGGTTTTTCTTTCGGCTTGGGCTCAAAAGCCTATGCATATGCATAAGCTCTAATATGTGTATGGATGTTTTGAATTAATCGTCCCCTTAGAAAGCTCTGTCCATTTCGTTGTGTTAGGCTTTGAAACAACATCCACAATGACCAAGCTTTACACTGTCTCAACCTGCTGTTGAACTTCTTTCTTCAAATTGATCATCACAGTGAGGTGAGTTTTAAAAGTACAATAGGCCTACTGTTTTGATGATAAGTCTTTGATGTGATTTTTGAGAGCATTTGCATTGATGTCAGAGTGGTTAGAGGGACAATAGAGCCCTGAGCACCAGGTCATTAGGACCTGATGGTAGTTAGCAAGTTGGGTACTACCAAAACATGTCCAGAGTGCATAAAAGCAGATTACCGTGACTCAACGGTCACATGGAATTTTACTGCGGTCATGACTCATGACTGCCTGTGTGGCGTTAATACGGTCACCACAACAGCCCTAATCCTGTCTCCCTGTGTCCCTCCCCTCTCCCAGACCTGAGGAAGAACTTTGAACAGGACCCCCAGGGGAGGGAGGTTCCCATTAAAGGCATGATTGTGCTGCATTGCCGTCCACCAGAGGGAGTGCCTGTCGCAGAGGTAAGGCCTGCATGTTTCAACTCACAGTATACACCGATTTTTATAATGCTTTTCTCATGACAAGGGTTATAATGTATTATAGCAGCATCAAGTAGTTTTTTTTTGCCCACAAAGCATTTGTCAGTTACAGTTGGATTACTACTACTCCAGGGCTACAGCATCATAAGGCACATCTACATTTCTCTGTTAAGAGCTGATTCTTTCCATTTTAACTGCTTCCACTACTAGCCCCATTCCCTTCAGCATCTGAGTGATTGGCTCTTGTTGTGTGTTTACCTCAGAGTGGAGATGTGGAGATGGTGGTATAGGCCTGTTGTATACTTGAGGCCATATCTAGCTCCTCGCATCCCTATGTTGTAAAGTGAAGGGATGTAGAGTTATGATTTATTAAGGTGCCATGGATATTATTTGTGTGGGTGCTCCGTTTTCATGTCGCTTTCATTTTCAGGGTGAATAAGAAATTAGGTTTTCACCGGCACGTTTACTTTCAGTGGTATGAATGTGTGTCCAACCATGTGTGTCTTGTACATTTGCATGTGTATTGATTGTGTACTGGCGTTACGCAGTTTCTCTGGACCCCCCCACAATGTCAGAGTTGCCCCCCCCCCCCCCCCTAAAATACAAACAAATCTAATGAGTCAGCCAGACAGCTACTCACAAAGTATAGACTACCGATTGCTGTTCATGGTGCTGAAATTGCAACATGTCTATGCAAAGCAATGATAGGCTTTCTGTGGTGCCAGGGCATGTAGCCTATAACTTTGCTTTAGCTAATGAATAAATGTTTATTTTAGGCCTATTTGGTCGTCATTTTCACGTTAAGCCTGACATTTCACAAAGCTATACACGGTGTCGCAAGGCTACCATGCTGGGTGGTTCTATACAACAGCATGCTAATCAGCAACCAATATATATTTTTTAAATATACAACTGCCCTGTACAGCCTACTTGAACCTACATGACATGAGCCGTCCTCACTCTCTCTCCCAGCTTGGATAGAAAGTTGTTGTGTGTAAAACCAGTCTAATAATGCCAAATAAAGCAATCAGTCCACCCTCAAAACACTAGCTTACCAGGGATTGTTTAATTATGCAGTCTAGCCTATTATCTATAGCTGTATACAGTATTTAGCTGCTATTTATAAACTTGTTATAAAAATTACACATCAAATAGCCTAACAATGAGGAAAAAAGTAGTCGGCTTGAGGATAAATTTAGCCACTATTGTTGAACTCAGCAGGTTTTGTCTGGCTAATAGCCTACACAAAGGGGCTGCAATCAAGATACATTCAATTAAATCAAATTAAATGTTATCCAATTTGAGAGACTCCCCTGGTCTTCTGAAGTCCTCTTTCTGCTTCTCTCTCTGTCTCTTTTTCTCTTTCTTTCTCTTAGAAAAAATCATCTCTGTGTCTGTGCTTTTTTTCTACATAGAGGCCTATAGTAGCTACAGTATGCGACTGCGTCACCTTGCATTTTTGTGTGCAAATGTTTTCACCAAGGCCTGTAGGTCCAGGTTGCGGGCCCAACTGTTTTCAATACCGAGTATTGACAACCCAGACAGTCTTTCCTGAGACATTGTGCATTACAGGTGCAGCTCAATAAATTTGAATATTGTGAATTTGAATAAAGTAATTTCAATAATTCAATTGACAAAGTGAAACTCATATATATCGCTAGCTCCCCTACCTCTACGGAAGCACAGTTCCCGCTCAGCCCAGTCAAAGCTATTTGCTGCTCTGGCATCCCAATGGGGGAACAAGCTCCCCCACGACGCCAGGACATCGGAGTCACTCACCACCTTCCGGATACACTTGAAACCCTACCTCTTTAAGGAATACCTGGAATAGTAAAAAGTAATCAGCAGTCTTCCCCATGATTGTGAAGCATACTGAACTGGACTGAGAGACCATTTAAAGGCTCAGGAAACCTTTGCAGGTTTTGAGTTAGTTAGCTGATTAGAGTGTGACACCTTGAGTCTACAATATTGAACTTTTTCACAATATTCAAATTTTCTGAGATACCGAATTTGGGGTTTTCATGAGCTGTAAGCCGTAATCATCAAGATTAAAACAAATACAGCCTTGAACTATTTCACTTTTTGTGTAATTAATCCACGATATATATGAGTTTCACTTTGTCAATTGAATTATTGAAATTACTTAACTTTTCCTCAATATTCTAATTGATTGAGCTGCACCTGTATATGTCTATTGCGCTGCACACAATTTAAACTTAGTCTTGAATGATGCATGGCAAGATATACCAGAGATAAGGGACTGTTGATATTGCAACCACACAACTCAAACACATCCGCTTTTTTAGTTTGAGCCCTCAAGAACTGTTGTCCGCTAAAGATGATAATCTGTTTGCATCTGCCAATTTATTGGCTGTCCAGTATCCAGACGACCTGTCCCAGCGCTTCCTATACACAGGGTTGGGGAGAAACGGATTACATGTAATCCGTTACGTGTAACTGATTACAAAAAAACTGTAACAGTAATTGGTTACGTTACCAGAAAAAATACTGTAATGAAATTACAGATACTTTGAAAAACTATATAATTTTTTCTAGGATTACTTTTAAATTGAGAAAGGATACTTTATGACACCTTTCTATTTTTGACATTCAACATTGAAAACAGCCGCAAGTTTAAGTTTGTTCCGCCTGAGCGAGTCTGACCACAAGTCAGAGACCACTATGATGACACACCAAATACGGTTGATGGATTGCGGGAAAAGAAAAAGTATTTGCCCCCTTTCTGATTTTCTCTATTTTCTCTATTTTTGAAACTGAATATTATCAGATCTTCTACAAAACCTAATATTAGATCAAGGGAACCTGAGTGAACAAATAACACAACAATTACGTACTTATTAAATTTATTTCATAAACAAAGTTATGCAACACCCAAAATGTAATTCCCCCCTTGCACTCAATAACTGGTTGTGCCACCTTTAGCTGCAATGACTCCAACCAAACACTTCACTATCACTATTTTTCTTCCCCTGCCTGCCATTCGGTGGAGAGGGTGTATGGTCCAAGTCTGGGTTCAAGGATTTAAAACATCTGTCTGAAAGGGTCTCTTTTCCAAGCTTAAAAGGATAAACATTCACACGCAACACCATGGGCCAGAAAAGGTTGAATACATTGGTAATGCTGTCAATCCAGCATGACCTCATCCAGAGAATACCAGACTTTGATGACAAAGTTTGATGACAAAGTTTGTCCACAAGAAGGACCGCCGTGCCACCTTCCTGTTCAAGTGAGAACAGCACAACAACAAGTCCAAAAATATGTATTGTGTGCTGCTGCATAAATGATGTAATACGCCAGGGAAAATGTATACTGTAGTTAAGAAAGTAATACTAAGTGTATGTTGTGTAGTAAGCTGTTAGTAGCCAATGTGTCTCACCCTATGAATTTGGTCCCTCTCCCCCTCAGAACCTAGCCTATTGTTCTGACTCTTGTTCTGTGCTTTCTCTCAATGAGGAGGGGATACTATATAATGTTGTTGAGTCTGTAACCATGTTTGCCAGTGACAGTGTCTTCCTATAAAAATTAAAAAAAAAAAAAATGTTTGCGCAATGCGCCGTCAGTGCGTTGGTATATTGTCTATAAAGTAGATCCTTGTGATTGTATTTTCCTTCCTTTTTAGACCACATAGGCCTAATAAAATACTTCAAATGGTAGCTAACCGCTGAGTCTGGGTCTCTCTCGCTCTCTTTCTCTCTCTGTGGTGACTTAAAGAAGAGTAAAGTTAAGGCCTCAACATCTTGCTGAATTTATCTGAACTAATATATATCTGAATTTCTGTCGCTGTCCATTTTGAAAGTGCTGAACAAATAGGCCTACCTCGTCGCAGCTTGTTCGCTTGCACTTGCTTATACTTAGAGCTAAGTGTTAATGATATAAGAATGATAAACTGAACATAAATCTAATAATGTTTGTGTATGGTTCAAAAGTCAAAACTCATGACAATGATCCAAAACACACAATCAAGTCTACATGAAAATGGCTAAAAGCAACACATTTTAAGTTTTGGAATGGCCTAGTCAAAGTCCAGACCTAATCCCTAGCTTTTTCAAACAGAAATTTGCATCCTGTAGCACTAACTCCAAATAGTTTTGGGACACTGTAAAGTCAATGGAGAATAAGAGCACCTCCTCCCAGCTGCCCACTGCACTGAGGCTAGGAAACACTGTCACCACCGATAAATCTACGATAATCGAGAATTTCAATAAGCATTTTGCTACGGCAGGCCATCCTTTCCACCTGGCTACCCCTATTCCGGCCACCAGCTCTGCACCCTCCGCTGCAACTTGCCCATGCCCCCCCCCCCCCCCCCCCCCCCCCCGCTTCTCCTTCATACAAATTCAGATAGCTGATGTTCTGAAAGAGCGGCAAAATCTGGACCCCTACAAATCAGCTGGCCTAGACAATCTGGACCCTTTCTTTCTAAAATTAACTGCCAAAATTGTCACAACCCCTATTACTAGCCTGTTCAACCTCTCTTTCGTATCGTCTGAGATCCCCAGATATTGGAAAGCTGCCGCGGTCATCCCCCTCTTCAAAGGGAGTGACACTCTAGATCCAAACTGTTACAGACCTATATCCATCCTGCCCTGCCTTTCGAAAGTATTTGAAAGCCAAGTTAACAAACAGATCACCGTCCATCTCGAATCCCACCGTACCTTCTCCGCTATGCAATCTGGTTTCCGAGCTGGTCATAGCCACGCTTAAGGTCCTAAATTATATTTTATCCGCAAAGAAAGAAAAAAACAGTACTGTGCAGCCGTCTTCATCGACCTGGCCAAGGCTTTCGACTTTGTCCATCACCGCATTCTTATTGGCAGACTAAATAGCCTTGGTTTCTCAAATGGCTGCCTCGCCTGGTTCACCAGCTACTTCTCGGATAGAGTTCAATGTGTCAAATCATAGGGCCTGTTGTCTGGACCTCTGGCAGTCTCTATGGGGGTGCCACAGGGTTCAATTCTCGTGTATATCAATGATGTCGCTCTTGCTGCTGGTGACTCTCAGATCCACCTCTACGCAGACGACACCAATCGAGCTTCAATGCCATACAACACTCTTTCCGTAGTCTCCAACTGCTCTTAAAGGCTAGTAAAACGAAATGCATGCTCTTCAATCGAACGCTGCTTGCACCCGCCCGCCCAACTAGAATCACTACTCTCGGCGGGTCTGACTTAGAATATGTGGACAACTACAAATACCTAGGTGTCTGGTTAGACCGTAAACTCTTCTTCCAGACTCACATTAAGCATCTCCAATCCAAAGTTAAATCTAG